ACGAAGTATTCTTGTTTCGTCGACAACTCACTCTCACACCGCCCCTCCCGCCTCTGATGTTCTCTGATCTATATTCTTTGAAGTAGCCGCTTTATCGACGAAACGAGAATACCCCAACATAAAATTTCGTAGAAATTTATTAATTTCATTGCTAAGAAAAGAAAGCTAAATTTTAGAGAACAGCAATTAATGCGGCTTAAATGCAGTATATATATTTACACATAAAGATAGATATCACACATTTAACAAAAAATAGATAGATTAAAAGAACATATTTTAAGGTGTTCTTTCGAGATGTTCATTAAGAAACAAAATACGTCAATATATATATAATTTTAATAAGACCGTTAAAGTGATCAATAATTAGCAGATGTATCAGCTTCTCGATGTGATCAATCCTTGTGGACCTCGTTGCTGTTGTAAATAATAATCAATTAATTGTAAGGGTTCATGCAAAATAATCTCCAGCCAACATGGAGTGGACGTAACATCTTGACGAAAATAGTTTGCTGATCCCCAACCTATGAGAAAAGAAAAACTCCCAAGTAGAAAAGTCATTTACGAAGACAAAACAATCTGATGTAACTACTCATTGACCTTTTTCTTAACAGTAACAGTCTTACTAAAATGCGTAAGACAAAAATATATATAAACCGATTTCAAGAAAAGTCGCTAACACGCGTTGTCAATATATGCATTTCAAAACCGACAGGCTAATTAGGAATGTTTTACTTTTATTCTTTTATCATGTTTTCTTTTTACTAAACTCCAGCTCACCACACTGTAAAAAGTAATTAAGGTAAAAAGTGGAGAAAAGTACAAAAATGCAGTATCCACAATATTCCACATTGTGAGGTTTATTCTGGGATATTCTAACAGATGTGAGCAATTCTCATTATGACTCACAATATGCGACAATTTCGCGAAAAATTATAAAACTGTCACAGCATTTTGCACGATTGTGAGACATAATGAGGATTCTGTTAAAAGTTTGCTCACAATATGGTAGAATATCCTAGAATAAACATTACGATGCGGAATATTGTGATCCTGCATTTTCTGCTTTTTTCCACTTTTTACCGTAATTAAAAAGAACTCTTCTCAGAAAAAAATCTGGAAAAAACGGTAGAATTGCATTTTTCTGATTAAAAAACTGATTTAAATGAGTTTTTTAATGAAAAATATAATAAACGGGTTTTAGTAAGACTGAAAAAAATCAAAAAGCAGCTCAGACATCTCGATCAGCAACAGTACGTATGATATAAGATTTAAAGAGAGCCATGAGATTTAATAATAATACCGTAGATATGTAAGTTGTATCTTTCCACTCTTCAGATAATATCTGTTTAATACTCGAGCAACATGAGCTCAAATGCATGTCTTTAAGTAAGAGTTTTTATAATGGTGTTGGTAATCCAGTCCTTAATCAAATATTTACCTTTAATAAAACTAATTCGTATATGACAAAGTTTGGTCAGATCATAAATGTGTTCGTACATATTTGGATTATTTGGCTTGTTCAATATATTTGTAATTAATTGTGTAAAAAAATTAATATCAAATAATAGAAACCAATTATTATTTTTTATTTTACTAACATATTTATCCGAATTTTTAAACATCATATTGGCCAGGCCTGATTGCACATAAATCGCGCCGACGTGTAAACAATTTTCAACATATATTTCACCATTTGATTGCCATAGTTTAATACCTATTATAGGAAAAAAGTATAAACTAATCTGATCAATTAAGAGTAAAACAGTGTCATAAACCTTTTCCTATATAGCGTAGTACTTTTTCGATATCTGAATTTCTTTTTACATTTGTGATTGATCCAAGTGAAAACCGTTGACTGAATTGAGTTGTTGTGGGTGATGTATAACCATCGATCTGAATTGATTGTGTATAGACATCAAAACGTGGACTGAGACGTATGTCTAATTCATAATATAATAGTGAACACCAACATTGTTTTGAATCAATTTGATCATAATAAATATCTAAATGAATTCAATTCTTATAACTGCTAGATACTGAAGACTATTATACGTAACTTACTCTCATTTTCTTGTATCACATCTAAAAGAAAAAAATATGAAATGAAATTTAAATCTCTATTACTCACTGCACATGTACTTACTCATATAATCGGTGTTTGGACAATATTGTGGGGGTGTTACATTCAATGCACTGTTGGAAGATGATGAATCACTTGTGTTCGGTGTTAAATTATATGAATGATAACAATTCATTGATTGTTCAGGTTGAATAAAGGTTGTTGCAATTATATTTTGCTGAATCGTTGGTTCCATTGAATAACCACAGTCCATTTGAGAAGGTAACAATGAGGAAACTAAAAAAATAAGTTCAAATTAAAAAAAACACCTATTTCTAGGGCGTTTAAAAAAATTACCATGTGTTTCGATTTTTTCATAGTGATATGGATTAATGCATACTTCATTCATTTTTATATTTCGTGAAAATGGATATTGACAATATGGAACACTTTGTAATTCATGATAATTATCTAAATCGGGCCATCGCCATATACGACAATGAAGTACATGTGGATAAGCTTTTCTGCCGGACACTTGTACTCGACCGTCAGTTGTCGTTATGATTGTTATACATTTTGATGTTTCATTTGGTTTCATTAAAACATTAATCAAATCATCGATAGCAGCTAGTAGTAAAACATTTGCAAAACTATTAACTATTAATAAAACCAAATGCATGTGTTTTGAATATACCCTGTTTTTTCTTAAATTTTTTTGTTAATTGTTCAATTGCTTTCTCAACATAATTATCCTCTGCTCCAATTTTTTGATTTCGTTGTTTTGCCCAATTTAATAACGTTCTTATGCTGTTCATCTAAAACAAATACCAAAAATCTTCTCTCACTGTCGATTATTGTCCAGGATAACTCATAAAATTAAAGTACAATAAAAACCTACCGTTTCTTATTAAATGGTAGTCTTATAAAACGTCTGTAACTAGATCAAATATGAAGCTGTGAAGTCATATTCATGTTGTGTATGTTTTGAATGTGTGAAATGTGTTCTATCATTAAATTAACTTGCGGCTCATTTCTCATTTTAAAAGACACTTCGAAGATGCAGTTGTTAAATATGTATATATCATTGAATAATAGCTTTTCTCAAAAATATTTCACCTATTTCCTCGTAATTGACATATTTTAAACATAACTTATATAACTGATGTTTTGTCAAATAATTGTTGTTATTCATATCCATATGCGTTTCATTTTCTTTCCTTTTTTTAATCACTATATATCTACTCCAATATCTTACACAGTATGACGGCACTTATGATTGAACTAATATTGAACATAAATATCTTAATATAAACAAACGATTAGAATTAATACCTGGTAGATACGGCACTTCTTAAACCGACATGGGATAGTTTCATTTCCAATCATTTTCTTTCTTTTCTTCCAATAGAAATCTTGCATCGAACACGTATTATACTAAAATATAGGCTAAATTTCATATTCTTGTGCCTTCTTTACTAAATATCTTCCATTGTTTACAAAGAGAACAGCTACTAAATTTTTCGTAGATTAAAGGAAACAATAACTAAATGATAGAATAATGTGTTGAAAAAAGTGATTAAAAACTTGTACACTATACAATTTCTTTTGATAAACAGCTGTCAAGTGCTATGACGTAATCCTTCTACACTAATTGCGAAGACAATTAGGACAAATGGAGAATGGAACGCTTAGTATGAAAATTTCTCTAAGTATCATGGCAAAAGAATCGTTTACAATACTCGTCTACAGTATCACATTTACCAACGTACTTCTTTTTTCTGTATAGTTCACACTCGACTGAGTATTTTACAGCTCACTTTTTTCGAGATATTTATGTAATTGTTGAAGTACCACGGCGGCCAAAATTATCCGAAAATATTTTGCGAGAGCAATAATTGATTTTCTCGCCGTTAAAGCCCTGAAGAGGAGACAATTCTATGTGTGATAGGCTCTATGAGTTTTCACTCGCTACCTTCAAAATCAAGTACGAAAATTACCCAGTATATAGACGACGAACGAAAACGTGTTCAGTTTTGCATGTTTTCTTTTGTCGTGCAAGGGAAAATAGGGCAGTTCAACAAAATACGATTGCATCATTTATTTGGAATTGGGGATAAAAAAGACATAGAGGCTGTCTTATGTAGAATTTTCTCCTATTTCAATTTGTGTTATTGAAAGAATACTTTTCCTTGTCTTCTAGTGCACAATACCCAATTTAAAGTTAAATCTCCGCATTTTCTATAGACGATCGTTTAAGAAATCCAAGAAAAGCTTTCAAACTCTTTTAAAATAGACCGTTTCTTATCTCATCTAATTTGTTAGTGGCTCACTTAATTTCAAAAGATACATGTCTAAATCTCATCATGTACATGATGAGATTTCCGATTGAATTCTAAACATGCTTTGTTTTAGAAATATTCTTGAATTCCGTATCGTAGAAAAAACTTTTCTTCTCGCTTCTGTACTAGAACATGTGTAGTCTATATTTGAATGAGAATATCCTTATGAAAAGCAACTGCCATTATTTTCATCGTCTTATAATGAAGAGAAAATATCGCCCATGTTAGAGTGAAAAGTTCTTCTCTTTGATGTGTAAACAATCACATCATAAATACAGGATTCGAAATATTATTACTTTTTTTGAGAAGTTCTGTCATTTTGCTGTCGAGTAAAGTAAATATTTAAAAGTTCAAATAATGAATATTGTACGTACATTCATCACTGTATTAATATTGATGAAGGTTAGCAGCTCACAAAATGTTTCGTGTTCTGATTCTGCATGCCATTGCCAACTTGCTTTCAATCAGTTACTATTAACTGAAAACTGCTGGAAGCCATACAGTCAATGATATCCTTTGATCACGAGTATTAGGATACTTCAGCTCATCCTGTTTATTCCGACTGATCACGAGGTGTATGTCTGTATAACGAAACCCTTAATAGTATTGAATTTTCCGAAAAAAATTTAGACAACGTCAATTTATCATGTTTACCTAACTTATGTCGTTTAAATGTTTCACTTAATCAAATTAACGCACTATTAAGCGGAACTTTTAATCAATCAATTTTAGAAGAAATTGATTTGAGTTATAATAATATATCTTCTATATTATCTACAGCATTCACTCAGAATTTCATACATTTAAAGTGGATAAGTTTGAAAGGAAATACACTTTACGTGGGGGTCTTTCCCTTTTTTCCCCTTCAGCCAGTATCCTATCAAGAACTTTTTCACAAGAAATATCGAATGGTGTTATGCATTATTTATCGATGTCCCTACGTCGCTGCACATGAATTGTTAAACGTGGTTGACGAAAAAGACTTAAATTTTTATGTTGTAAAATATATCGCTCATCGTTTAGAAACCTATACACATCAGATCTAGGTAAATCGCTGTTCTTTAATGACATTTTCTATTGGAATGACTACAAAGCCAATAGAACGGTGAAAATGGGCCATTTTTATCGCTTAAAGCGTTTAAAAAATCAAGTAGAACGTCATGACTCGTCCTTTTGTAAATGGCTAGAATTTATCAATATTTACTCACTCGTCAGTACAGTAGTTCAGGTTACATTCTTATTTTCTCCTCCCCTTTGCACCACTTAATTAATGGTTACTTGTAAGGTTTGTGTTGTTGTCTGGTTGTTTTTTCTTTATTGTTTGTTCCTTTTTTGGTTTTTACTTTTCTACTCTTTTGATCCTTTTTGATAAATTTTCTTTCAGGTGTATCTAGTGATATAACTGTCAAATGGAATGAACAGGAAAACCAATTGCATATCCTTTAGACAGAAAGTTTTTATGTATCCATCGCATGAATTCTACGTGTGAAGCATAATTTCTTTGTTGTTTCTCTCACTGCTTCATATCATCGGAACAAAAAAAATAAAGTTGGTTTAGAGTTGCTGAAAAGCGATTTTTCGTATTCATCACACTCGATAACCCAGAAGATTTTCTATTTTTGGCCCGGGGTACTTACGAAAGTTTAAGAAAAATTTTGAAACAAAATGGCGCAAAAAGTTTTCCATGGGAAAATAATATTAATTTGAAAACTTTTCCTAAACTTTCGAAAGTATCTCGGGCCCAAAACAGAAAATCTTCTTGGTTATCGAGTGTGCTGAGTACGAAAAACCACTTTTCAGCAACTCTAAACCAACTTTATTTTTTTTCCGATGATATGCTATGTAATTTGCAAGCGCTTCCGCGCGGCGCAAAAAAACAGTGCATAATAAAAATTAAAAAAAAAAAGTTTAAAAGGAAGTTTATTGACTACGTTACTTATCTGGCCGTTTCACTTGCCATTTTTGCAAGATCTTGATTTAACTCAAAATCCGATTTTTTATCTGTCTCTGGAAGATTATGCCGATACAGTTGAGTTTATTAGTCGTCTTCGCTCCATACCGAGTATTCTTATTGGAAATGATAAGCCCGCAGTTAGCGAATTTTTGTATGAATTTGCAGTGAAACCGAACAGTGTCGGTGGCTTTCAGAAATTAGCTATTATGATGTGCAATGTTAATTTAACAAATTTTTTTTATATTTGCTCTTGTTCAGCGGTAATAATACAACAATGTTTATCTCAAATGTTCAGTCTTTCTTGGACTGTTTCATATCCACTGCGGAACACGAAATGTTGAAATGTTGGAAATTTTCAAAACTTGCCTGTTATTAATGCTGATCTTACTCTACTTCCATATCGTCTATTTCCCATTAGTGAGATGATGATGGCATTGAGCCAACCGATTTTGTCTGCAAGCGTATTATCTACAACACCAAAGAATGAAGCAACGTTTTCATTCAGCCACACAAACATATCAGATTCTCATATTGCTGTCACAGTTAGTGAAAAAATTAATTCAGATCAATTGTATAATTCTTCAATTATCAAGGTAAACACTATAACGTCTAGTTCTCATCTAAATGATTTTGATGCTACCTGGCTGTCGTCTCAAAGAGATCAAGTTTATTCTTCAACATTATTAATATCAGCATCTGTTTCGACGAACGCAGATCATTCTGACAGTAATTATCAGCAAACTCTCATATATCTCACGAAAAATTCAACTGAATTTCTATACACAACAGAAGTCTTGGATACATCTAATCTCCATCAAAAGTGATTATTCGATTAACTAATTTACCATCAGCGAGTACCGAGACACAGGTAGTATCAATCGATGTAAAAATTAGTAGCAAAAATGTGTACGTACAGTGGTAAATGAGACTAGATATTAGTTTTGACTGACGATACTAGGCAAAAAACACTCGAATGTACGAAAACATAGAAGTATATTCAATAGATTTGAAAAATATTGCCATCAGAAGTCAGGATGATCAAAGAGTATGGGATCAAAAAAGTAGAAAAGTAAAAACCAAAAAAAACTTTTTTTGGTTTTTACTTTTTTTTTATCTGTTTTTTCTTTGCCAAAGAAAAAACAACCAAACAACAACACAAACCTTACAAGCAACCATTAATAAGTGGTGCAAGGGGAGGAGAAAATAAGAATGTAACCTGAACTACTGTGCTGATAAGTAAGACTGCTTTTCTCTCTTTCTACATTATGATTAATGTTTGCTAGCCTTCTATCGGGTTTAGAAAATTTCGTAGAAAGTAATTTTATCGAAATTTTTTATCAACAGGAAACCATATTATGACACATTATAGCACTGTAAAAGCTATATGAAACGATTTCTCTTGGAGTATAAAATCCATCATGATATGAGTGAAATATATCGTACATCTCCTCAAACTATTGCTTACAGGCTAACTCTCGTATATCCGCTACTAGTATACTGAGCAGATGAGAAAGGGTTAGCAATGTGAATTGTGCTCAATTATTTTCCTGATTTTATCTATACGCAGTAGAGTGTCCCTCAGAGTCAATAAAGCAATCATCTTCACAATACTTCTTACTGAAAAGTACATGCGCACTGTAATGATGGATTATTTAAAATAAAACATAAAATCGCAACAAAAAAAACATTGACGGATAACATCCAGTCATTCCACAACTTCAATTATTGCGCAGAATATAGGAAAAAACAGCGAAGTTGATTTTTGTAGGTCATCTGCAAAGGTCAAGGTCGTGTGTTCAATCCTAGCTTCGTGCAACGATTGATTTTGTATTTTGATAGTTGATAAATGATATAATGGGAATTGATACTCTCGATTGCGTTCTGGTTCAAGATTAAAGCTTAAACCAATGATGAATTAATTTTAGTTACTTGTAAATTCTCAGTATATAGAACCCGTTTGAATTTTGTCCGAAAGCATCACTTCAGTCCATTGTGGGATAGGGATGTTACGAACCCGAACCCACGTTCGTAGTTCGGATAGAATCTTTGAGTTCCAGTTCGACTACACACTAAAGGTATCACGATTGTTAACATTATGCTGACATGTTAGGGTTTTAAAACTTGGGAGAAAAACCGTCCAACTATCGTTTTTTGAGTCAAAGTGTGAAAAAGAGAAAAACCATTATGTGCAAAACTAGAATTTAAGAAAAGAAGTAATAGTTGTCTAATCATATAGTCTGCTTTCTCAGCTATTTGATGTCGAACTCGAATATTCGGGTTCGTAACATAATCGGTCTTGGATTAAGGATGATAATTTTTCAATTCTTCAAATGGGCAAATAAGATAAAGCAGAACAAAAAAAAAGAGCAATACCTAAAATGAGAAAAAAATTTTCTCTTCGTTATACATACTCACACATACGTTGTACTATAGTCATTCACATTTCATACTAACAAAAGAGCATAGAGTGATGTTAGTTGATATTTCGAAATTGATAAGTCGAAGGATCTATATTATATATTGAGTTGTATTATCAATTGTTCTGATTTTAGACGAGTTATTTAAGCATAATTTCACAGTTTAGGTGGACGAGAGAGAAGGGAAAGTGGGAGCATAGTGAATCCCCAAATAATCAACAAAAAATATAATAAAAAAACCCTAATATGATAAAACTAGACCGTATGACAAATTTGTAGAAAATTTCGTTCTACGAATGTCATTTTAAGTAATTTCTTTAAATTGATTCTACCAGATTATTTAGATTCGACTTACTCATTATTGGCTAGTACTTCTGTGCAATCTACTATCAATTCTTTTCAATCATCTACCCTTTTAAGTAATATATTCAATACAGTATTCACAACAAAGTAGACTTCATCGATAACTCACACACAACCGACATGGAACAAATTGCAAGCAACTTTTTCATCAATGACTATTTCTGTTCCACAGTCACTGGCAAAGTTTTTTATTAATGAAACTATACAATTCGATGAAATCAGTTCTATCGAAGAACTGACACATGTTCAACTTAATCGATTTTTAACTTCATTTATCTATTAACGTTTTTAGGCTCGATTCGTCTTAAATTTCTCCCACTCAATTGGTCCAATTTTTTTTCATACTGCACCTATTACACCATCACCACTTATTTAATTTCTTATTTGAACGTTTCTTCTTGTATTGATAACCGTTACGATTCAATACAGGATTACCTTTTCTATAAAGTCAGTAAAAGACTATATTTAAAAAGACTCTGGCTTCTGATGGCAATATTTTTCAAATCTATTGAATATACTTCTATGTTTTCGTACATTCGAGTGTTTTTTGCCTAGTATCGTCAGTCAAAACTAATATCTCGTCTCATTTACCACTGTACGTACATATTTTTGCTACTAGATAGTACCGTGTTTATGACCCAAAGCATACGGTTAAAACTAGGGCAAGTAGAGAAAAAACAAGCTGAGACGGCTTGAAGCTAAACGTTTTAATGTTAGATTACTTATATCTGTAAGAAGTGTTAGTAGATTAAAAAAATCACTGTTATTGCTCCGGTTCTAAATATATAAGTTTGCTTGAAATATATAACGATGTGATCAAATAACTCTGCTGCCGGAAATGAAATTCTTCTACGTTCTTCTCTACTTTGATATATTTCGAATCGAGATGGTTGAACAAGTTATTTAACAAAGATTAAAACGAAAAAATATATTTTATTTTCCGTGACTACTATTTTCATAATAGAATGAACGCGATGAAGATGGAAATGAAGAACTCGAAATCAATATTAGTCATGTATAAGATATATAGCAAAGAGTAATAGATATGTATGACACAACAGCAAACAAATAAATAATAACGACAATTCGAGGAAAGGTAAGAATGATTCTTACCCTTCCTCTAATTGCATCGTTATTTCGTTGTTTCTAATAAACTGCATAGTGTGCAGTTTATTAGAAACATTTCGAATTTCTAACATACTCATAAATGAACTCTGCTATTTTAAGATTTTCAATTTTTAAGAAACTATCAGATCTTAACGGGAGGGCATGATGATCACTTTTGATTTCAAAACAGAATTACATATCACTAGATTGAAAATTTTTAAAAGCTTGTTCGGTCAAAACCCATTGTAGATTCGTCTCCTTCATGGTCGACTATCTGGTGCGCGATAACTTCTGGATCAGGATACTTTAGAAAAATTTCTCAACATCGTTTTGCCTTTGGTCTCATACAGTAACTTTACGAAAAATTTTTGAGCAAGACCATGAGAAAAATGTTTTCTAAAGTACTCCGATCCAGAACTTATTATGTACCAGATAGTCGACCATGGAGAAGACGAATCCGCTGTCGGTTTTGACCGAACGAGCTTTTAAAATTTGTCGATTTGGTGATATGATTGAATATGTAAATTAATAATTAATAATAATTTATTCATTAGATACGAGTGACTTAACGAATATGACTATATTCGGTGCAGTGATGGAAGCAGTAACATACCGTTTGAGAAATTTTGTAGTTCTGGTTAGTAGTGTAGTTACACTTAAATTGACTGGCTGCTAGAAAGCTGAAATCCAATGTTCGTTCACCTGTTTTCATCATCATACTAAAATGGTGGTTTAGAAGGAAAATTGAGATGAACTTTGTTAAATCGATAATAGAATATTTCGGTCTGCAAATATGCAGAAGACTTATATGTGTTAACAATTAATTAACTTCTTGTAAATAATTTATTAGTGACAAGAAAAAAGCAAGTGTTTTTTAGTTTTTAACATTGTCACCAATCAATAAATATGACTTACAAATGCGAAATCCTTCAAATTTCACTAAACTGATTTGATGTAAATCATGGTCGTTACTAGCCAGTTGTTACTCTCTTTATATTTTTACTATAAAACCAATTCATGAAGACTGTTAACGAACCTGAACAAAAAAGAAAAGAAAGGAAGCTTTTTCTTTTTTTATCATAATAATCATAAAAATGAAATAAAGTAGAACAAAACAAGGTAACATTCCTATACAAACTGAACTCACTTAGGAAAAAAAGAATAAGATTTTGTTAAGTGTTCAAACTATTTTATGTTCAAAATTACTGTTTGATTAAAACTTATGTTGAGCGGATCAAAGTTAGAGATATTATTACTCAGGTTTCTATCTTAAAATTAGTAGAAAGAAATTTTACAATACTAATTGAACAACTGTTTCAAATGTCGGTTATATGAAGACCTATTACTTGTCTAGTCTTTTAAATTGGCAACAATGAAAGTTGTATCTACTTTTTGTTAATAGTTGAATTCAAGAAACTGATTTCTGTTATACGACTAACTAATAGTTTGGTGTTCAATAAAAGTTTAGACACTTCTTAAAAAATAACACACACTGTAAGAAATACATTATATTTTTGATGGAACGAAATTAAAACAATTTTCTTTCAAGATATTTTCTCTTTTTATTCTCAAGCATTGTAAAAAGAAAATAAATAACAAAGTTTTTCATCACAAAAATATTTTTAGACTAAAAAATTAAAAAATAACATTTTGAATTGACCAGTATAATGCTGGAAGCATATGCATCTGTCATAAATAAAGTTACATGGGCGGTGTTATTTAAAAACAAACAAGTTTTTATGTCGAAAAAACCAGTTATGTTAATCAAACTTTCTTATCGTCTATTGAATTTTTACTTTTTTTTTCCTGAACGGAAAACATACATACGGGCACAAAAATACATTATTACTGATGTTAAAAAAACAAAAAAATAACTAACATAAAAAAAAGTGATGACTTTCCGTGAACTCACTTTTTTTTTACAAATGACATGAGTATGTTTGTTCTAAATGCTATAAAACTACTTTGGTAAAAGTATCCGACTCAAGCATCTTAAAACTGTAAACGATGTTGTGTCACCAATATTTCCTTTCAACTTCTACAACTTATCATTTCTTCCATTTCAGAAGTTTATATTTAAACATTAATATGGATATTTACAAACGTGTACAATCCGCTTATCCCTCTCGTAAATCGCAACCATCATCTGTAGGTTTTGACTCAAAGTCAGAAAAAGTCAAACAACGTCCTGTCACCGGTGGTATTAGTCGTACACAACGACTCGATACACAAAATGGTCCGTATAAAACGCTATTTGATAATGAAGCATTGAATAAAACGCTGTTTGATAAAGAAGCATTGAAAACATTACAATTGCCATATGTAATAAATCGTCGACCAAAAACGGGCAGTACAACATCATCACGAGCAACTACAACTACATCAACTAATCGTAAATTACGAACAGATGAGATAGAACATTTACTAAAAAGTCTTGATCGAGATGATTCTTACATTGTTAAAGTTGAATGTTTAGCAAATTATCGAACGCTATGTCAAACGATCGATTTACGAAAAACTCCTCTTGATTGTCAATTGTTGTATGCATTACAAAAACGCGAAAATAAAATCGTTCAATATAATGCGTGTCGCGATACGCGATTTATTTCATTAATAGATTCTCTACAACCATCTAAATATATTGTGAATACTGAAATTCAATCGGCTTAAACTTGAACGCTACTAATGTCAAGTTAATCATAAATGAATTATTATGATAAACAAAATTCTAAAAACGATTATTGTTTAGGTAATTGGCTGAGAAAGTGGAAGCTGGCAGTGCCTACGGATATGAGTCCATCGCATTACTGACCATGCTTCTCATTAATAGTTCTTAAATATTAACAAATTTATTCATTCTACTAGTTATAAGTATGCTTTTCCACGACAAAATTTCTTTTGAATAAGTCTCGACATTTTTGACGTGTACATCATAACGATCAACACTGAATCATCAGACGAAGTTTGAGATTCCATCTCTTCTTGAATTCTTGAAAAATCATTGTATTTCACGTACCATTCATAACAGCACTTTTGACAAAGGAAAGACGGGCATTTACCGGTTCTTACAAATGAAGTAAAATAGCAAGACGTTTCGAATTGAAGAAGAAACTTGAAAAGAATTAGGATGATGGAATATTTCTCGAAATTTAAATTCGATTAAACGTCTGTCCATATAATTTTTATTTTAAATTTCGGGTATTCTTGTTCATTTTTCATTAAAAATCGTCAAAGAAGATATATTCAGCTAAAAGATATGCGGATACGACAAAATCGATCATTCACGCTCGAGCATAGGTTCTACTAATTTGGAATGCAGTATATCTTATAGTAATGTGAAAAGTACTTAGACTACAATGATCATTTTCTGTACAAAATTTTGTTGATTGCTGTCTTTGTTTTAGCCATTTCTCTAAATTAGTTTCACAGCATTACTGAATGAGTTAGGAATAGTTTCACTGCTTTCATTTTAAAAAATAGTTTTCCTTCATTTTTCTAGTTATATACATTTACTAAAACACAGAATATTCTAGACAAAGCATATGTTCGATATAGGTAGACATAAACAGAGATTTAATAACAAAAACGAAAATATATTACAAAAAATTTTTTTCGAACACATCATAAAACCCTAAAACGGGTGAATAAAGGCATCCAGTTATTCCAAGATGATATTTTTTATTTTAATTTTACGATGTTGTTTGTGGCTACAATAGAAAAATAATAACAAGTTATAATAGTTGAAAAAGTTCATATTTATTTTACCGTAGTTTGTTTTTGAACTTTTTTATCTTCTTCTTGTTGTCGATTTTTGTTGCTCAAATCAGCAATAATTGTATTCATATCAACTTTTTTTACTGTTGTTCGACTGGGTTTTCCAACTAAAATAATAAAATATTACTCATTAATAGTTTTATACACAAAATATCATAAACTCACCAACAGAACGAAAAGAGGATATTGTTATTTTTTTATTCGTTAATGTATTATCATGCTCATTATCAAATTCTTCTGCTTCATTTGTCATTCTAAAGTAGTATATTTAAAAACAAATTAGAGAAAAAGAATAAAATTCATTTACAACTTACTTTTGATCGTCTTGTTTTGTTATCAAATGTTGATTGTTTGAATTAACTGCAATAATTTCATTAGCAGATAGGCTAACTGGACTATTAGTCGTCGTCGTTAAAGGCAAACGTCTTCCAGGACATTTCCATTCTAATTCTAACATCTATGATGAATACAGAAGAAAAATAGTTTATTTAAAAATGTTACTTAAAATACACCTTCCATACTTTTTTATCTTTAATATCATTATATAATTTTACAACGATTTCAGGAGGTGGTTCACCAAATTCCATTTTCGATAAAAATCTGAAATGAATAAATAATCTTTTCCGTAATCTGTAACTATACAATTCTTTCGATGTTTGACCACAAAGAATTTTATCACTGTCACATGTGTGTATTCGTTTATTGGATCTAATCCATGTAGAAATTGCAAAAATTTTTTGCGTAATCACTCAAAAAAAATGCAAAAACATAAATAGCATAACGCGTAAAATGGTTACAAATCTGAAATTCTGTATATTCTTTTAGAACAAAATATTTAGAACGTTCTTGATTAAAACCAAATATTTACAAAATCCTGTATTAGTTCGACTAATACAGAATTTTGTAAATATTTTGTTCGAGAAAAATATACAAAATTTTGTAGAATTTCGGATTTGTAACTATTTTCCGCGTTACACCACTTATGTTTTTGCATTCTTTTTTGCGTTATTCACTTGATTCACCTAAGAAATTTTTTTGGTTTTGATGACATGAGACATATCTTATAAATAATAGCGTCAATATGTAATTCTTTAATTATAAAAAACAAATCCTCTTTACAGCCACTTTGCACATTAATTAACCTCTTGAATGCCGTAAGGAATCTATAGATGACATGAGAGAAATTTTATATGTTGCATATGCTTTTTCGTTCTATCGATTTAATGAAAAAAAACTGCCAGAGGAATACCTGCCACGAAAACAACAGAACACAAAGGGAGATATTTAATCGTTTTTTTACATATACATGCCTTTGGACACGTAAGAGGAAAAATAACAGCATTCAAGAAGTTAAAGATAAGATTTATGTTGTGCAAAATAAAATAAAAAAACATAGTACTATTCTTTAAATGAGCTCAGCTAGAATTAAATCTCCCATTTTTAAGTATTTTTTTACAAATTTTGCAAAGATTTCTTCTGTTATCCAAAGAAATTTTATCAAACTAAAACTTGTCAATTTGTATCCTTTCACTTTTAATAAACATATCTTTCTTTCAATAAAAAAATAGATATACCGTTTTGAACGATATAATATAAAAAAATATTATCATACAAAAAAAGATAACATATTCACCAATTAAATAAATAACTTTAACATAAAGAAAAAAAATATATAAATAATTTTTACAAAAGATAGTGATCAATCAAAAAACGTCACTTTCATATATAAACAATGTTCTGTATAATAAAAGTTAAAATTGTTATAGTCAGACATTCATCACTGAATAATATACGATTTATCTTTGTGGGAATTATCTGACAAATGTTGGCTAGCACATAACAATGACTAAAAGGTTGATAATCGAATATTTTATCATGCATTGACTTTGATACTCTAAAATATAAATAAAATTTAAACGAGGAACTTCTAGCTTAAGTCTCCTTTCTGTCTATCATAAAAAAATAGTTTCCAAAAGAATCTGTTCAATAAAGTACTGACACTGTATAATATGTTTAACAACTGTCCTCACCTGTGGTTTGCTCCGACGAATCTCTTCTTCACTTTCCTGAAGAGCTTTGGCCAAAAGATAATCTTCATATTGCTGTAGATCGCTACAAAAAAGAAATAGATAAAAGCAATTGATTTTATTTATTGTTAGAAAATATGTACCTATCTTCAATTGACATTTTACTTCCTAACTCTTGTAAGTCATCGAGATCATTATTCTAAAGGTGAGGATGGTATATTAATTTTCAGATAAGCTTTTTTTCATAAAATAGATCCTACCAAAGTCACAGCAGTAGTTGCTGCGTTATTATTTGTTATTTGAGAGTTGTTATTGTCCATTGTATTGACAGAAATGGGTGCAGAAGGTGTCGATGATTTCACACTTGTATTTGTTGTGAATGATTTCAGTCTATCAATAGCTGCAGCACTAAAACAATCAGCAAGAATAAAGTCAAAGCTATAGCACTCTTTGTTTTTTTTTAACTTACCCAGTTCTACTCATTTGTCTTCCCGTATTTTCAAATCCATTACATTTATGATCTTCGGGAAAACGATGTTTTAAACAATATGTTTTCAAACATTTATCACAGTGCACTGCTATTGCTTCACGTTGTTTACAATTTGAAGCTGAACATCGGTTTTTATAAATACGCGGACGACGTAAAGCTGGATCGGATTTACAATCACGATCAATATGTGCACTGATAACTTTATCTGGTTCTTCATTTCGAGGACAGGATACTACTTTATTGCATAATGGACAAACAGGCACTTGAACATCTTTATGATAAGATGATTCGCAGTTATGCTCATCATATTTAATATGATTTTTGCTAAACAAGAGAATATAATTTTAAGATAATACATGTTTGTAGAAATAATATAATTACCAGAAAAATAATTACCAGAAAATTTTTGTACATGCATCACATTTCATTGGTAAAAAATCAAGACGATTACATGTTTGAACACAACAATGCTTTCCTAAATCGGGAAATTCCATTTTATCGTGTAACGTGGGCAACAAATGGCGAAAAACTTGAGAACTTCTTTTGCTAGTTGTAGGAAAATAACGAAGGAAGAATATTTTTTCCTTATATACAAATGTACATAGATTTCCGGAAAGACCTATCTTTGTCATGCTGATGTTGCATATAAAGGAAAGTCTCATGAATAAAGTAGAATCATCGATGAATCACTAGCATAGTTTCTTTTTGTCTTTCCTTTTTTTTGGTTTAATTGTTAATCATATGAGTCACAGTGTAAATAGGGGTGAATAGGTATACTATGCGTGATATAGCGGCACAATCGACATTAAATCAACCAGACACTGCCGCCCTAAACTTAAGTTTTATGCTTTTTGTATACTCATTCGATTATGTTATATATATTCAGTTCGAATCTCTTGAATTTTGCGAGGATCTATCAGTTCTTCGTTCCGACCGATGTAACACATAAATGCACATTCGCTCGACTATGTCCATTGTTTTTAATCCTCCTTTCTTCACAGATACTTTCGTCTTAATGACTGCCGCTTAAGTTCGGAAGAAATAAGTCCAAATTCTATTAAAAATTTTATTACAGTGTATTTGTTTGTTTGCTCACAATCTTTTTGTATAGAGAAATTTATTTCTGACGCAGTTTGATGACCGTCTGTCTTCTTTTTCAAAAGGTTGAGCAAGTTTCTATCTACCTTGCTTCAGCTATTAGATGACGAGAACCATTCGGTGTAGTGAAAATAAACTTGTTGTTATTGCGTAAAATTTGTGACTTTTTCTGAACGAACGAGATGCACATATATTTCTTTTGGACTTTCTATCAGTTATATGAAGAAATTTACTGTGTTTTGTACGTACCCATCATGAGTTTATAGAGGACTATGCTTTAAGGACATGTTCTTACGTAAGCAAAGTGTAGAAGCACTAATAAAAGTAAATCTACACCCTGTTTTACACCGTGAGAAAGACAGAGTAAACCATGTACATTTTGAAATTAAATTAATATTTTGTTTTTTAACAGAAGTGTTGTTAATCTAACGACCAATGAACAGTTAAAAACGTCAGTGGATCCGAACAGCTAATTTGTACATCGTAAGATTTGTTTTCTTGTCTTTTGTTTCTTTATAACTTCAAATAAACAGTTTATTGTTTTTGTATATGAACATTCATGTTAATAGGAAAAACTTTTTTTCTGTTATACAAGAATTGCACTTTTTCTCTACGTACGTATTTTATGATTATGTGTATGTGAAAAAATTGATGATATCAAAGCTTCTTTACTGCTCTTATTTAATTAGTACGCGTTTTTTCAGCATTTGTACACTTCGTAAGAAAAAACACAATATACAAGTACAAGTTACAACAAAATCTCATTAAAAAAAGAACACGAGAGGATTCTACAAAATCCCGTCATATACTATGTCTAATAGAATTCTATTATATGATTAGTCAACATTGCTAATAAACTACGAGTAAACTTTTATAATGCACATTGTATTAAGTCTATCGTACAACTTATCAACTCAGAACATTTTTTGGTACACACATAGGATTATTACAAACGAGATCTCAAAAAGTTGTTGTACTTCTTGATGGGCTTTGGTAATCAGAGGTGAAAATTTTTCTCATCGTTCTAGATGTTTCTCTCAAAACAACAACATTTGTCTAACAAAGTTCTTTGTTCTTATCTATGTGATCGTTTATTGAAAACGAACATTTGTCTTTCTCATATTCAGCAGTGTTCTGCTTCGTCGTCTTCATCTTCACGTCACATTTCACATCACGATCAAAATCATGATGCATCAATACCATTATCAAAACAACATCCTAGAACTCCTTTATCAATGGATCCATCGTTTCGGCCGCCTCTAGAAGAACTACCACGTCCAAAACATTACACTCCGCAGGAACCAATTACTTTTGATATTAGAGAGTTTTATAAAAGTTATTTTCCAAATGAACCAATTGAAGCACGTTTGCCAACACCATGGCATTTTGATGTTTATTATCGTAAACAGTATTATTTATTCGCTGTGGTATTTGGAATACTAACGGGAATTTTTATGTCATGGAAGCGAATAAATGTTGATAAAGCAAGACAAAAAGATTGGGATCGCCATCATGGAGACCCACTGTCTTATCACGATACGTTTGGACCGATCAATCCTCATTATCCTTACCCAAAAGTCACTGAGCATTACAAAGGATTTGGCGAGAATAATAGAGAGGAACATAATCACTTCAAACCTCTTCTCAATCATGAAGAACATTCACATTAATTATAAGAAATTTTGTCACATTTATTTTTTTCGGCGTGTTCTTTTTCTACGTATTTTTGTAAATTAATCTATGGTTTCTAGTAAATTAGCTTTGCGTTGAGTGACAACTGTCATTTCTGAAGTGTCACTTGTTCGTCTCTCGTTTGTTACCTTGTTGCACAAAATTCAATATTTATGCTTAACATTATTTTTAGATAAAAACATCACCCTTAACACCTATTTAATATAAAATAAGCAATGAGTTACTCTCGAGGCGGCGGATCATCTTATGGTGGTGGTAAGTTTTCTAAAGACTTTTTTATCGTTGATTTTTAATTTTCATTATCTTAAAGGTGGCGGTAGCGGCGGTCATTATAGTCGAGATCAATCAAGAGGTAAGTTGATAGAAAAAGTAATCTACATTTGAACATATCCTTTATTTTGTTTAAGGTTCAAATCGTTATGGTAGTAGTTCAACTGGCAGAAGTTCTGGAGGAAATAATTTACTTAGTGAAATGGAGAATATGCCAATACCTGCACCGCGTGCTGGTCCACCAGTAATAAAAAATTTTTACACAGAATCACCATTGATCGTAAACAGACCGCAGGTATAGCTATTTTAGGCTACCAATATGTTTTGTTTTAGTCTGAACAGAAGTATTATTATTTTTAGAGTGTCACCGATCAATTTTATACACTAAATGAAATGGCCATACGTGGTTTTGCTCCAAAGCCTGTTCTTTCATTCGATGAAGCTCCATTTACCAGTAAGACAAAATTACTCTCAATTATATCTGAAAAATAGTGATACAAATTCTTTCATAGGTCAGATGAAATCTATTGTACATCGTCTCGGATATCAACGTCCCACAGCTATTCAATCCCAAGCTTGGCCGGTTTTATTGAGTGGAAGTGATTTAGTTGGCATTGCACAGACTGGTTCAGGAAAAACACTTGCTGCAAGTTTATTAATATATTTTTTCTTTGGTTATTTCACTTCATTTTGTTTGTTTACTAAAGTTTATGATACCTGGATTAATTCATGCTGCTGGTCAATCTGGTTCACGTCACGGTGATCCAATAGTTCTTGTTTTGGCACCAACACGTGAATTAGCACAACAAATTCAAAGTGTTTGCAATGATTTTTGTTCAGCAACAAATGCAAGAAGTGTCTGTGTTTATGGTGGTGCGCCAAAACCACCTCAAAAACGCGATATTCGGCATGGTAAGTTGACTTTACTTTGACTAGAAACTATTTTCAATCAATTTCTTTTCTATTATAGGACTGGAAGTACGCTCAGCTTCACACAACACAAATTTAATAGTTATTTGTTACATGAGTTTTGTTTGTTTAGGTCTGTATAGCAACACCAGGACGTTTGTTAGATTTTGTTCGTGAAAAAACAATTAATCTCGATCGTGTCACTTATCTTGTACTGGATGAAGCAGACAGAATGTTGGGTAAGGTTGAACTAATTAATTTAAAACTCGTAGATTGCAATAGGTTTCTGTGTTTTAGATATGGGCTTTGAACCACAAATAAGAAAAATTATTCGATATATTCGGGTAAGATAACATAAATACTGAATTTCAATGATAGGGCTTATTTATGCATAGGAGAGGAAAAAACGAAGTATCGTACTCTCACACTAGTTCCAACTACGAGGCTGCTTGTAAGAGTACATAGTTCGTTCAAATTCAACTTCTAATTTAGTAGAATGCACGCTGAGGATAAAAACTGTTCTTTATCTAATTTGATTTCTAATCTGGAATAAACTTTTCGAATCTATTTTCAGCCTGATCGTCAAACATCGATGTTTAGTGCAACATGGCCCAAAGAAGTACAAAAATTAGCAGAAGATTTTATGTCCAATTGTTCTCATATAACTCTCGGCAAGGCTGTATTGAATGCAAATCAAAACATTCATCAAATTGTCGATGTTTGTGAAGAAAATGAAAAAGAATCCAAGTAAGTACAATTTGACATTGTAAAATATCTAAATAAAATATCTAAATTATAAATATATTTGTTACTTGATAGATTGGCCAAAGTTCTTGCAGCTGTTATGCGTGAGCAAGATTGTAAAGTGATTATATTTGCACAAACAAAAAAACGTGTTGATGATTTTTTCTTTACTGTTAAACGGTTGGGTTATCCAGTATTTCCAATTCATGGAGATAAACGTCAACAAGAACGTGATCGTGTTTTGTCAGGTGAGAAATTAACATTTTTTTTAACGTATTTTACGTTATTTTATAATTGTGTCCTATGTCTTTAGAATTTCGAAATCGTCCTAGAGCTGTATTAATTGCTACTGATGTTGCAGCTCGTGGTTTAGGTAAGAGTGTTTTAATTCCCGGACAGTTTAAGAGGTAATGTATGCTGATGCAATTAATTGTGTATAAAGTAAATAACTTATATTTTCTTAATTCTTATTCCTACTTATTGTAGGTATCTGTTGAGATATCAAAAACTCTAAGGAGATCAGCTGCTTTAACGGGTCCTATACAGTGTAAAAAAGTGTGTCACAATATATGTCGGTTGGTCTGCATGACGATTTTGAAAATGGATTAAGCCCAGTACACATATGCGCGCGCATACACACACACACAAAAGTAAATGAATACATCATTAATGGCACAATCTTTCGTTTTGTCAAACAAAAAATTTTATTGACGAAGCATTCATGTTACCGTCAAACATTTTTGTTTGTAGTTAAATTGGAGCGTACATCAAAAAAAAACAGGAGTAGTACGTTCAATGGTTATATCGGTGCCGAATACAACGGTCGTCGTCGTCGAATATTTATTTAATTGGTATTTAGTTGTATTCATTCTTTTACTTTTTTCGCTTTGAAACCCTCCCATAGTGCGCGTGTACTCCATCTAGAAAGAGGGCAATAAGAGTCCGCAATATTTCGTCATGTAACATTCAATAGGCCACCGTCGTTTTTTTCAGACACACGCACACACCACACATGTGAAGTGGTAAAACGGTAAGTCTATGACATCGTTCAAAAGAAGCTGATCTGTATCTAGTAAAAACGAATAGTTTTCAGTTAATTCCGAGTGATGAGCAAAGTTTC